TTCCTCAATGAACTTGGCCTCTGTTTCCCGAGTGTGACCTGAGGCCAAGCCTTCCCGGGTGTGTGTCTGTGTGTGTGTGTCTTTACAAAAGCCAGCTTCAGAGGCAAGGGGACGGAAACGCACGCTGTTTGAGCTAGGTGCAGTGCAAACACAGACAGTGCATGGGTCATTGTGTTAGACAGAGAGGAGAACGAAGGACCCACTCACACTGCAAACACTCCCAGCTGTTCAGAGCTACGTTTGCATGTGTGGGTGTGTGTGCGTGTGCACGTTGTCCCCGCACTTCTGCCAGTCCATAGCTGCGGTCAGATACAAAAATGGGGCCACACCTTATGTCAAGGCTCTCTGTTTAACTTCCACAGGTATGTAAACTCCAACGCCAGAGCATGCATTTGATGTATCCGCAAAGTTTACCCAAAAGGGGAGGAAAGTTAATACTTAATTCAGTGTGCAATGTTATCTCATCCATATTCCTGCCTATTGAGGCCAAACATGTTCAGAGCATTCACTTATAGCTCTCAGCCAATGAGACCAACATGCGATGGAATCAATTTTGCGAGATGGTTATTTAAAGAACTACAGGGCACGTTGGACTATAAGAGGCCTCATAAAACTAACCTCAAACTTACTGTTTTGTGTCATTTCTGGTTTATTCATGCATTATTTTCATAGTCAAGCTGCCATTTTGAAAACAAAACAGCAATTAAATCCAGTTGAATTGTTGCTTGTGGACGTAGGGATGTCATGATATAAATGTTTCAGATTAAATCACATCCAAATTGACGAGGACCCTGTCGGTTCTCAGACCTTTTCTCATACCCTCTGGCTTATTAGAGGCCAGTAGAGAGTATTGCTTGTATTCGCTCCACTGCACAAAATGTCTGCGGCCTTTGCTACAGACACAAGCCACATGTCTGTCACATTTTATTGTGAATGTAAATGCCTGGGACCAAGGAGACTGAATGTGGTATATCTATTCTAATCTATATTGTAACACCGGCCTTCTGTTGTGCGTTATTGATTAAAAGAATGTGTGGAGAAATTAGTTGAATCTGCATTAGATGATCCCTGTTGTCAGTTTTGCTTCTCATTTTCTATTAAGTCAGAATGTGGTATATTCATAATAACTTTAGAGACAGTAGTAATGTACTTTAATGCCCCTATCTGTCCATCTGTGGCCACCAATGCTCCAAAGTCTTTCAGGGATTAAGAGGATGTGAAGTATGTGGATCTATATATTATAACGTTTCTCGAGCACAAGTTATCTTGCACACACAACAGTCTCAGTCTGAATGTGGGTACAGAAACTGATAATATTATGATCTCTGGAAATATAACGTTAGTCCAAACCCCCAGGGTGAACTGAATATTCTGTATTTTTCAGTCTATTGTTTCTGACATTTGGCTACAAATTATGAACCAAAACATATATTTAAAAAGGCATAATTTCAACATCAGATTACATATAATCTTTGCACTGCTAATTCTAAGTTTACTGACATGTTTGTCCGGTTTCGGTTCATTGTGCTTCCGGCTTGTTAGAAAATATTAGCCTGTAAAAACAAAAATGCTTCAGCGGGAGACCGAAAATCCCCCAAAACAAACCCCCAATTATGTTGTCTTGTGTGGCAAATAGTGCTGATGGGGGCACTAGGGGTCTGTTGTAGCATAATTTATTCCTGCTGAACTATCACATTCAGTAATTACTAAGTGTATATTATATTACTTCTGCGCAACATACCAACTACAGTCACACTGGTATAGTCGTGAGCCCGGTCTAGACACATGGCACAGTAGCAACAAATCCTAATCTCAGTCATTCTCAGGCCTCTCCAATTTGAAACTGGACTCTTTTCTTTCCTCTAAGCCATTTCATTCATTTTAGTGAGTGTGCTCCTGAATAGAGGCTACAGCTTTGGCGTTGTGTCCCAGACTGTCAGATTTGGGTAAATTGATCCTGCCTCCCTGTTCTGTCTCGAGTCCGTATAGCCTGATCAGGAAAACACCCATGACAGTTTGGCTAGCGGCCTTGCTAAGAAGTGAGCGCTATTTAAAATAGAAACATTGGAAATTAGTGTTAGAAGGTTTTAAACATGAGAAAAAACAGTGCTCTCCCCTTTGAGTTTGAATTTACACAAGCTCCCCAAGTGGTATCGGACTCTAAGGCCAACTCTCACAAAGCCTGCTTTCCATTGGGAGGACATGGTGCAGCATTTCAGCCTTAGCTAAACAGCCAGTAAGAAGCAGAATACATGGTGACCCAGCCTTACAGATCTTTTTGAGCCACCAACAGCTTGATATATCAGCGAGCATGGTGAGGAATTAATCACACCACACCCTTCTTCCCTATCCACAGCTGTGACTGAACAGAAGAGAGGAAAAGGTCAAAACCATTGGTCAGGAGGGGAGGACGCGTAGAGTTGGTTTAACCTCTGACCTCACAGTTAGATGTGTGAGGAGACATCTGACATCCAGGACTAAAAGGTCACTTTCCCTCAGCGTACCTCTGTGAATCGTCTTCCTCTGATGGCTGCTTCCTCTCACTGCGTCTGACTAAATCTGAGTTTGGCTAATTGACGGATGTGTAAAAATCAAAAGGAACAGAGTTAGAAGGAGATAGCCGATGGACATGGAGAGGGGGGACTTTGCCAGAGCATAATAGCCGTTTCCCCCCTCTTGCCGGGGGCCCTGTGTAGATGTGGTGGACCCAGCCCCAGACGCCACTCCATGGTTTGGCACGCTCTTCATTTTAGCCCTCTCACTGTTTCCAGCTGAACCAGATCCCATGCAAACACACGGGCAACCGGTGGGTTTTTTTTATTTAGATGTCGGTCAAGACTACTTACAGTAATGATATTCAAAAAGACAGTGCGACATATCATCCCATACTTGCCAAAATATGATCCCTCCCCCCCTCCTTTCTTCCCAACATTTTCCCCTTCTTAAGTTTGAGAAGAGTGCATGCAGATGAAAAGGAACAGACACAATAGTGCTATCTTGAAAAAAGTTTGCCAGACAGTTTTTTAAAGGGATAGAGCAGGCTGCGAAGAGGGTAAATACGGAGGAAGGAGGACAGCAAACGCCTTTCAGGAGACTGTTGGAGGAATATTCCAAAGACAATGGCCTGTAATGCGGCATAAAGCACAAGCAGTGATGTGGCGTATGACTGACTCAGATTGATATGTCCTCGCTGACCCAAAAGCTCTCATCCCTGCCTCAGCTTTTTGAAGTTAAATAAACAGTGTGTCACAAGATATTCCACATACCACCCAAGTGCTATATGTGTGAGAGACTCCCTGTGTGTCCACAGCAGTGCTTGTGTCTACGGTTTGATTTGTGAGCATACTCACTGTATGTGTGGACACAGAGAGACAGATAATGTGTGTTAGCGTGCACAGGCATGTGTGCGCCACCAACGAGCGAGCGCGGATGTGTGCGACACGTCTGTAATGACAATGGCGGGTGAAAAAATAACGCTGACGCACAGTCCTTGGTCTGATCCTACTTTAATAAAAAAGTGTTAGCTCTTTGAACATTTTAATTAAACTAAATAGGACCATCCCCACCCAGGCCCCGGCGATGAGCTATGTACATTTGAAGACAAACAAGACCATCTGTTACGGGGTAGACATCAAATACATGTATTTTTTATGTCACCCTGGGCCCGCATGTTGACTTTCATTATTTCTAAAATCCATCTGGAATTTTGATGGGGATGTTTTGAAGGAAAAGGCCTTGAAACCACAATGCAGGGATGTCTTGAAACAAAGGTCTCTGCGGTTTTGTCTGTTTCTCGTGGTCAACAACAGCCCAGCAGTCTCTGCGCTCAGATAGCTCATGTCTTTAATTTTAGTTTATGCCATCATTATTACAACACGTTAGCCGTTTTTCATGCAGTTTCTTGGAAATGTACTGAATTGATGGTTTATGTGTTCTCTAAAGAAGTTGAACTTAGACCATAACATGTAGACAGAAGGGAATGGGGTTCATTAGATGATTGACTAGCTAGGCGGAGAGGGGGAAAATATCCGGATGATTGTTGTTTGCTGCAGAAACACAGAATTTTTTTAACTGTTGTGTTCATATAAAATGTGACAAATAAATCTAACATCAGAGAGGCCTTGATTATGTTCTCTACCGAGTAAGGATAGTAGCTGTGCTACTTACTTACTATACATTTAATCACATTTAAATTAATAATAATAATTAAGCTTATTAAAACATATTAAGTGGGTTATTTTTATATTTTAAGAAAAAAATACATTCAATTATATAAATAAATACATTCAATCATTTTGAAGATGCATGTTGGTTTAACCCACAGTAATGCATTGTTATCTTTATTCAGCTTAAACCTAACACTGTTTTGCAGAGCACCCACTGTGTTTCATTCTTGATTTTAAACTCACTGTAATGCAGGAGTTCCCCTATAGTGAAAAGGTCAATGTCTGTATGTTGTTGCCACCAGAGGGAGTCTTCCTAGTCAGATAAAAGCACCCAAAGGAGTTCACTGTTTTTTGAACATCTGCTCAAAATTCACAACATTCCAACTCAAACCCAAACAATATTTATGTTTTGTGTGTGATGTTTTGTTCAAACATTGCTCTCTAAATCAAAGTGACTGACAGAACTTCCCTGACACATAGTTATCATGACGCCAGTTCATTATTATTAGTCATTATTAGTCATGCAATTGTAATTTGTATTCATGCATCTGGATTCTGGAAAGTCATTCCTCGTCTGTTTGACTTTATGGGTCTTACTGTTGTGGTGGAGCTCATCCGGGGGAGCCCACACTGGTGGGGCAATGCCCAATGTTGCCTAGCCTGGGCCACAGGCCTATAAAAGACAATTTCACTTGGTTCCTTTTAGTTTTCTGTACAACAACTACACGTGTAGAGCTCAGACTGGAAGCCCGTCCCATCCCCTGCATATCCATGCTGGAGGAGGAGGAGGAGGCGTGGAGCCCTTTTGTTACCTGTGTTAGACTACCTGGCTGTTGCAAGTTAGTTACATGGAATGCGTTAAGATGTCTGTAGAGAAAAGGAGCAGTGGGCGATGTACAAAGCTCTAAACAAGACAGAATCCACATTGTCGACAGGGTAGGAGCTAGTCGTTTGTTCTACCTGCATGGCGCAGCAAATGGGAATCGTTAATTAGGCTCTATCTTGAAAGTAAGGACGAATAGGAGGCACTTCCTCCAAGAACTCATTCACCTCTCAAGTCCGACCCTCTCTCAAGTTTCATTTTGGACTTCTTATCCACCTTTCAGGTCGTCATCAGCATCTCACCTGTACTGCTGGACCATGGATTTCACACGGTCGAAGATTTCAATATCTCTTCAGCTCCATGTCGCGGGAAATAGGCGGTATACGTGCATCTGGAAGGGTTAGGAAAGCTGCCAATGTGAACGGAAAGCGGATCCACTTTATGTTACAGTGCATGGCCTCTGGACAAAGTGCCAACGATCATGCACAAACCCCTCCGAAAGTGGAGTCTCAACGTGTTCCTGTGTTTCGGCATCATATACCTCAGACTTGGGTGAGTTAACTGTGTTTACCTTCGTTTTCTTTAAACGCGCAAACATGGACATTTCATTGCGACACTCGGACTATTTAACTTTTAACAGGGAAGCTCCGGCTGCCCTCTGACCTCAGACTTAACCATAATGTAAAGAAATCTGTTTTCACCTGGTGTTTAAAAAAAAAATATGTTAATCATGATAACTAAACACCTGCATCTGAGTGTGTAGAGCGTACAAAAGTGTCAGATCATGCCTACACACAATATGATCGATTCGAATTCGCCTTAAACGAGCTATTAAGTTCACCTCATGAGACTATACTGCTTCTTTTTCGCACGAGATAATTTGAGCCGCTGTCATTGCTCCAGATCCAGCTTCACCCTGCATACCTTCATTAATAGAGGCAGACTGAGTTGTATTTCCACATTCCATCGGCCAGACAGAGAGTTTTTACCTGTTTTGCAATACCTCACCTTGATGCATAAACACAGAAAGACTTCTATCCATTCCTACTCTGCTGTGCCTATCGCAGTGCCTGATCATATTAGGACCCCCGTGTACACACTTATAATCATGACAAATTATGTCTCGTAAAAATCTGTGTAGGAAGTATTGTATTTTTGTTCACGCTGTGCATGCTGGTTAATGTTTCTCGACTTATGAAATGTGCATGCTTAGTTGTGAAAACATATCTTATGTTGATGGTGATGACCTCCCTGAAACCTATGCTTAAACTGTAATGTACAGTATAACCAGTGATGGAATAAGTAGATTATTTTCTCAAGTACAGTAAAACTACTAATACCACGGTCTAAAAAAACTTAGTTTAAAATGTTACCTGAGTAAAAGTACAGAAGTACAAGTCTGCTTAAAGTATCAAACGTAGAAGGACTCTTTTTAAATGTTGTGTTTCAATTATGTGAAGCAAGTTTGGGATACTTTATGTTCTAACGAGTAGATTAATAGTGTATAAAATGTAATATCAAGTTGCTTATGACAAAGTCACTAGTAGTAACTACATAATAAATACATTTTGTAGAGCAAGTACAATATTTCACTCTGAGATGTATTGGAGTCAAAGTAAATTGGCAGAAAATGGAAATATAAAGTATAAGTACCTGAAACTGATACTTACTTTCGTAAATGCACATTCCTCTACTGCGTATAACTAGTTAATGTCTTAAACTAATAATGAGTATTGGGGAGATAAATGCCTATAGTTAAATGAAGAGGAGGAAAAATTAAATTCAAAAGAAAAGTTTTTCTAACACTTTTGCATATCAGTCATTATAGACAACTTTTATGTGGGACTACATTCTTTTTCTTGAAAAACTGTAACCAAGCAGTTAATGAGAAGTTAACTGAATTATAATCTGTCTCACAAATAGACTGGTTAAGTCCATTCAACCTTAAGGCTCTTTCATAGTGTTTTTGGAGATTCCTGCTGCCACAATGAACCCAACCAAAAGTGTCTGCCCTCCCTGAGAGGACCTCATGTGAAGTGAAGCGTGTAAATGACTTCAAGTTCCACAGATGCTCATATCACATGACAGTAGCTCCAATAAAGGGGGAAAGTCACCCATCTCCGTGTTTACTGAGCCTGAGCAGTTAGCTCATTCCTTCCATCCTTTTACTCGGCTAAATCTTTCATTGTACCCTCTTCATTTACAATGACTGGAGCCTGCAGGTGTTGAGTGAGAGTCACGATGCTGAGGGGATAAAAGCCCTGCTCTCACTAAGCTCTGCGACCAAATCTCCACAAGTATTTTATATCTCTTCGCAGATCTACATGTAATCTTGGGAAAGAAGAGTGCTATTTAAAGAAAAAAAAGGAAAAAAAAGAACGTATTTTACCTTTAGCAATCCTACAATCTGACAAGATTATTATGCAATTTCACAGCAAAATGAATATTTGAACATAGCCATGACATTGAAGCAGACAGGCAGACAGAGCAGACATATTATAGACGCCTATAGGAATATTATAGTGTTACCACAGGAAATAATAAGGTCCCTGAAAGTCATATTCGAGTACCACAAATATGCTTTATTTTATGTTTCTAGGGAAATGTTATAGGAAAACTTGTTACAATACACACTGTATATGCCCAAGAATATCATATAATCCAAATATTGTGGGACGTAAGGACATTTCTTGATGGCTAATGCCCTCCAGGCACCCATACTGAAATATTAGGAGAATAATACATGTCATATTATAAGGACTTTATTGCATTTATATGACACCAACTTGTTGATTCAGAGTGACATCCTGCCAAAGAAATGTGCTGATTTTTTGCACATGGAGCTGTGATGATGGTGTGAGGCTCGAGCAGCCAACGTCTATGTTTGTTTATTTTTGGCTGGATGGTGGGGTGGGGAGGTGGGGTTGGTGAAGGGGGGGTGGTGGGGGGTGTGATGATGAATGAAAACCTCCTGCACGTCCAACGGGGATCGGATCAGTGTCACCCTATTGTCCCGTTGTGGCAAAGTGGGCGGATAGCAGTGTCTCTCCCTGCCCAATGGCAGGCACGACTCTCATGAGAGTGGAGAGAGGCACTTTTCTGCCATGCAAAATCCCTAAAACCATCATCATTCCGGCTCGGGAAGCCACAGTACTGTGTAACAGCCTCCGCCGCTGAGAGATGACAGAGCCAATATCAGCGCACACACGGCCCTGGGAGCTCGGAGCTGCGTAGAGCCACCGCACCAAAGACAAGCAGACGCACAGCACCTCTTTTTGATTCTGTGCGAAAGGGACCTAAAACCGGGAATTATAAGGGAGTTTTTCATCCTTCGTCTCACTCAGTCCGAACGTGGCCATTTGCTCAATGTCATCATGATCATCTTCTCGTCGCGCAGTGTACTGCTGTCAGTCTATTACCCACAGATCTTCCTGATCCTGACGAGTGGCAGCTACCTGTAAGTCTGAGCCAATTAACGGTTTCCTTAATGAACTTTCACAGAGTGCGCGCTCATCCTCAGCAACACAGAGACGCACGGGTTTGGTTTTGCTTCCGTGCAGCTTTCCTACCGGACAACGGGGTATCCTTCCTTTTCATTAAACGCCGGTTCTGATATGAATTTCCTTAATTCTCCGGGTCCACAGATTGGAGTTTATTTTAAGTTGTTTATATTGTGCCATCATCAGGCTGTAATGGCACAGGGAGCAGACGAAGCAAAACTCCAAATTAAGCAGTACATTTGATTTTATTGTAGGATATTTTTCACACATTTCCTAATGTTATGCAAGCGTAACTTCAGCAGAGAATATTCATTATTGGTAAAATCACCGGGAAAAGGATCCATATGGGAATTAACTAATTGGCTCAAAACCTGAAGGTGTAATGTGCCGTGTGCAGGCAGAGGAGCATGTCTTGTGAGTAAGCAGTTGTGGCTTGAGTCTATCTGTCGTATCGCAAATATTTTAGCAAGACCAGAAATCATATTGGTAACGGCTACATGGATTCATTTTGGCCACAGAGTGGCAGAGATGTTCAAGACAATTGGATGCTGAGATTCGGTCTTTCTTCCTGTGAGGGGAATTTAACATAATATGTGCACTTTAACGCATGCGAGCGCCCATAACCTGTCAGAGCGTGTGACAGATTATCTCTGTGCATTACCTTTTCTTTGATTGATTATCTGAATTTCGATGTTATCTTATCAAACCCCCATCTTAGAACATATACCTGCAACAAACACGTGATTGACACTATAATGCGCTGTGGCTTTGCATTAAACTAGAATTAATCTTGCTGGAGAACACTGGCTTTCTCAAAGCTTCCAAAAATAATTACTCAGCCATGCTCCCTCGCTCCTTCCTTTACTGCCCGGAGACCCCAAACCTGATGCTGAAATAGATGTGGTTTTTGGTTTCTCTGTTAAAAGTGGGTTACACTGCTAAGTTTAGTAATGTATTGCGCATTAAAACTACACACTATTGTTTGATTATTTAAGTATGTTTTCTGTTGAAAATTAACCAGAAAATATGTTTTAAAGAAAACATTTATTGATTCAAAAATAATGCAATGTCCTTTATTCAAAGAACCAGATCTAATGTTTTGGCTTGTTAAACTGTACAATTTGTGTAGCTGTGGGTGGCAAATGAGCCGTCAGCAAAAGGATCTGACCAGCAATCGGGCAATTGCACACCTCACACACTCCACTATCGAGGAATTTCACACTTAATGTTCCAATGACAATAAACAGACCTTTTTCACTCAGTTTTGTTAATATCACACAGGCCTAACCGGTGTGATACTTTCTCAGAACAGATATAAACAGGATTTTGTTATGAAGTAAACACCTTCTGTGCACAGATCATTGTATTTGTAAATGAACACCAAACAAGGAAAATCCTAATCATCAAAACAGTTAGATCCAGCTCTTGGAAAAAGAAGAGCACATTTTCACTTGACTTATTTAAGTTGTGTCTCAGGTATTTTTGAGAGTGCATTCCTCGGTAGAAGATGCATGCCTGGCAGCTTAATAGTGTGTCAGTTAGGTTCAAAGTACTTGTTTGATGGAGTAGGTGGCTGTGAGCACGCTGCACGCCATGACGTAGACTTTCTCTTTAGGCTAAACTACCCTCTGATGGAATCTGTAAGCTCCTCACCTCTCACACTGCTACTGGCTTTTTCAATCATGTCGTTACAATTTTTTTTTTTATGTCAGCCCAAACTGGCCGAGGCCTCTCTTTCTCTGAAATGTAATGTAAGATGTTTTGTATAATGTGATTTTCTTTGTGTTACTGAGTGTTACCGATGTTCTGTCAGATAAAGATAAAGATATGTGTGACCTGTGTTAAGTCCCTAGTTTAGTGATGTTTACTCAATCCAAAAAAACATTTGAAAGAACATATAAGATTTGTATTTGATTTTGGATATGAGCTTAACAGTACCTGTGCAAGGATTAGATTTTGCAAAAATGCATGCCACCTGTTGCAGAGCAATTAACAAAAACATCTAATACATCCCTCTATGACAATTGCATTAAGTGTTCAATCAAACACTGAATACTTTGGGTCAATAGATTCACCTTATCATTACTCTGACATCTGACATATGAAATCATACTTTAGAGCTGCTGTTGCCGTTTTATCTGATGGTGGATCTGTGACTGTGGGTGAGCTTGTCCCCAAGCCGCTGGCGTACACACAAGTATGCGCTAAGCAAACAGAATCGCATTTGTGCACTTTGATGATTTCAGGGATTTAAAAGCTTAGCTGTGGAATTCTCTGTTTGGTGTTGTCTGATGGTTCGGGTTGCCAGTAGTAGACTGTGATTCTGTGAATTAGCAGGTGAACGACATGAGAAAAAAGCCAAGAGGGGAAGTCACTAGGAGGTCTGTTTGCAAGACCTACAAATATCCATGTGCTGTAGCTTTTTAAGTTGTGCACTAAAATACCATAGTAATACAAATGAATTGTATTGCCTTTGGATTAACATAAACAAACCACTTCCTTCCGACCGTAACATCCTTTATTTAAGACAGTGCATTTATCCAGTTGCACATTACTTGTGTTAATGAGCCTGCCCTTTTGCTTTGTACCGACTACATTTCAGCGTTGCCATGAACAACCACCTATACAGCAGCGGGTCACAGAGGGTCAGAGGAGTTCAAGCCTGTTCAACAGCAGAGAGAGCGAGGAGTGTTTAAAAGCAGCAGCCGGCCACAGTGTTTCCTGCAGACAGTGAATGCACCTGATGAATTCATAGTTTTTATTTCAAATTGTTTCATTTTAACAGCCTTCAGTTGAAGTGTAGTGATGCACATGTTTAAAAAATAACTTGCTTATTTTCTGCTTTGTTTTAGGAAACACATATTAGCTTGTTTACTGTAATTTAAAAGATTTTTTTCAGTTAGCTCTGATGCAAAATTGACTGCCGTGTGAAGACAATGTACTTAGTCCTCAGTCCAGTAACATTTAACTTGTGTCGCTGCAGTGAGAATCTATTTCAACTTGTGTGTTAAAACGTTTTTCTGTCTTGTGAAGAAACTCAAGCAAACAGAGAATAAGGGAACATGGGATCAGAGGGAGATTTCTAATCAACAATCATATCTTTCTTCTTAGTCAAGGGGCCATTGTATCAACAGAAATCATTGTTTCTCCTCTTTTCTTTTCACTCCTCTTACGCCGCTGTTGCTTTTCGCTGACACACAACTTGCCCGCGTTAGTTTGCCCCATTTGTGGTGAAGCCTTTGGAGGCAGACGTCATACTTCAAAGCTGCCGTTTGCCTCCACGCTCGTTTATGGCTCCCATTCCCTGACATGTTTGAAAAGTATGTATCTACATGGTTTCGAGGGCTGTAAACAGAGTTGTGGAGAAAGTCAGCACTTTGTTTAGCTGTAATCTGTTTTGGCTTTCTCAGTGGTTACAAAGCCATCTTTAACATATATTTTGATATGATCACATCCAGAGATCAGATATGATGACGTCCCCCTGAGGGGAGTGGAGAAGGGTGTTTGCCATTTGCGATGCAGCACATTAACACCCTGCGAATTAATGCGACCAGTGTCGAAAACGGGTACATATTTTCCATGCAAACCAATCTTCCGATGTGGCCAAAGTAAAAGCAGTCTGTCATGAAATTTATAGGCAGCACTTTACACCCTGTATAACTTTCAAACACATAATCACACAAATCATAAAGAATAATATTTTGTGTGACATTTGGTTAAAATTTGAACCCTGCATTTACATCACAGAAAACAGTTTGATGAAGTGTGTATACTGTTTTTGCATAAGAGGCAAGTCTGGCAACTATTCACGGCAATTTGTTACTTAACAACTTACAAAAAACCTTTTATAACTAATACACCATCCAATCACAACCATCTAGAAGGCTGATGTCAGTTCTCAAATCAGCATCTTGTTTTCCATCTCAGGGCTGTTAGAGCAACTTAAACTGTATATTTTTTAAGCTTTAGTTTTGATTATTTATAAAGGTTTTTGATGTAACTTTAATCCTTTAAATAGTAGTTAGTACAGTGTTCACTTCACTTTGGAACACTCATCAATCACTTGTTAAAATGAATTCTGTTCTGGAGAGTTTTACATAAATGAGTCAGTACGACCGTCCTCTAAAAGTCCTAACTGAGTGTGTGTCTGTGTGAATGTGTGTGTAAATGAATGTGTGTGTGTGTGTGTGTGTGTGTGTGTGCATGGTGGTGTCTTTCTCTTCCTTTGGCAGGGCCCTGTCCTCGGTGGTGGCTCTGGGTGCCAACATCATCTGCAACAAGATTCCCGGGCTGGCACCTCGCCAGCGGGCCATCTGCCAGAGCCGCCCGGACGCCATCATTGTTGTGGGCGAAGGCGCCCAGATGGGCATCAATGAGTGTCAGTACCAGTTCCGGTATGGACGCTGGAACTGTTCGGCGCTGGGAGAAAGAACAGTCTTCGGTCAGGAGCTGCGAGTAGGTCAGTCTGAGTTTTTTCACAAATGGGAAAGTGCACATTGTGTGCTTGTGTGTATGTGCGAAACCTATTCTGGGACTAATAAGTTGAGATATCTTTTGAAAAAGTCGTTTTTTTTGTGTCAAACCTTTTTTGTTGTTGCTAGAACTAAGATTTGATTTAAGGTTTGTGTTCAATCATAAGTTACTTTTGATTTAATGCTTTGATTTGGAGTGAACTTCTTCTGGTTTATGAGTTTAATTTAGAATTGTGTGCAAGGGATAAGGTCATCACCTGAGAGTAAGGGATATTGTTAATGATAGATACACAAGTGTGTGTGTCCGATGTTCCATCACAATGGATGATTTCATGATGAAAAAACATGACAAAAATGTATAACAACTGGGATGTTGTGTGTGTGCGGGATGCAACTCAGAGGACATTTATTTCTGCATGTTAATCATTTGTTGTCATTTGGTAATAATAATGAAGCCAACCATGGGAATACCAGCAGTTTGTTCCTGAAGTGGGAATAGGAAATGCGTGTTTGAAGCCATCCTATTGTCTCAGTTTTAAGGAACTGTACAAGAGGAGTATGAAATATGGTACCAGCCCCGACCCTCTGAGCCCCATGAAATATGGCTCCTCACAAGCCAAACCCAAGCTGCACACATCACACAGTCAAACTCAAACCAGCAACACGCAGTCTCTTTGACTCTCTATTGTATAACCATTCGCGTTGGCATTGCTCAAGAGGACTTCGTACACTGCTGATTCTATTCCATTTTTAGTTGTCCTCTTTTCAATTGACAATGTTGTATTTCCCCAGCGCGCTCTGGTTTCTGTTGATGTAGCTTCTGCAATGAGACTGTCGGTTAGCGGCATGCCGACCATTGCTGGCTTCGGCGAAGTTATGGAAAAGCTACCGAAAGGCACTGCGGCCCTAATGGGGAAAACGTATGGTTGAAAAATGATATCGCAAATGAGGAGACAACTAATGGTGTTATTGCAGAGAGCGCTTGTTGAACCAAAATAGATGGACACATCTGTTGTCAATCGGGCTAAATTGGTTGTGTCCATGCCTGGCGGGACACATACGTACAGGAAAAGACCTTAAGCAGACAAACATTTACATTTACGATGCTTTTGTTTGAGAGACTTGGCTCTCCGCAAACCTCTTTTGCATCGCTTTTGTTTTACAGGGTTTTTTTTACATTTCCTTTCATTTGGAAGATGCTTTGTTGCCATTATGTTGCGGTCGGGCTGTGCATTTAATCCAGTGGCTCTGTTAACAATCACTCCTCTTAAGGAGTAGCTGAATTAGCTCCAGCTCTCCCTCCAAAAGCATTTTTTCTTTGTTGTGAATGTGGCGCTTTCATTTGTAATGGAGCTCATGTTGTTTTCCTCACCACTCAACAAACCCTTGCCTCCTCCTTCTGGTCTGTTCTTTTATGCCCTTTTGAAGGGGGCGGAGAGCTAGAAATGATTTAAGGCACTGGTTCACTAGGCATCGTTTTGTCTAATCTGCATTTCTGTAGGAATAATGTTTGTGTTTTACATATTATACTGGTTACTAAAGCACTTTGCAGGATAGAAACCTACATTTAGCAATTCTAATTAACATAGTTATTTCTTTCTCTAATGGGAATTGTAAGCATTCACTAATTGTATTTTAGGCCATTCAACCCTATGGGGCTCTTTCTCCTTTTGACAGTGATGCCACATCTACATCCCATACTGGCGTCATCTGAATTTCGCTCTTCTTGTTTGGTTTCTAGTGGATTTGCACAAATAAATGCTTCATGCTCCTGTACTGTGCACATTTGGTGACTGTTGGTGTCCACTTCTCATCCGAGGGTGATGACTGTCGGGCCTGCTGTCATTTTCCAATAATGAAGGGACTTAATGTCTTCTCAATAAAGTATTCCAACGATGACGTCTTCTTGTAGACCAACATGCAACTTCATTTAGCTGAGAGTTCCCATGACAGATTATTATTAACACATTATTGTTTTGCGTTTTTGTTCTACGTGATAATCAACATACATCTGTTGTCCCATTTGAATCCTACATGCAAGTCACATAGGTTGAGATAATCTTACACTTTTTAGGGCCCATAATGGGGACATTTGCAGTGTTACAGTTGTCAAATGCTGTTTATTTGATAAAAAGAGAACACACACTGTAGCACTGTTTTTGATAGCTTTTAAAAAGGTTAACAGGAATGCTCTAGCACAGGGTTTTTCCTCTCTTCTTTATATTAATAGATTTTTCCTCCACTCCATAGGGGTTAAAGGAAAATTGTCCAATTGTTTCTGCATTTTGACAGTGTTGGCATATTATGTGAAAGCCATGGCTTGCATTTGTGATGTTGGTTCATGGTATTATAAGATAGAACTGGCACTAAAGAGCTTAATGTGCTATAAGCATAAGTAACTATAAAAAAGGGACTTAAAGTACATGTTTTACATTTCAATGAATCATTTCCGTCAATAAATGCATTGTACAGACACACACATTTACACACAGGTATTATTTTCAACATTATTTTATTATGTTGCTGATCAACTTTAGTTAAATATATGCCAAATGTTTATGATGAAACATAAATTCCTTCTCTGACTTGAACTTTAGTTACAGAAAAACGTATCAAATGAACTAAATGGAGAAATCCTCTCTGAAATATACCAACATTCATCTGAGCTTCTCTTCAGCTCGCCCAGGAATGTTAATGTTTCCTGATGATTGACATATCATTTATTTTTTTCTCAAACAATTGCTGCCCAAAATCTGAAATTGGCGCCATTTCTTTTCTTAACCCCTTCCTGTTGGTGTGTTCCGGCTTCTTTCTGGGTCTTTGCTCGGCATTCAAAAGAGACCTGTTGGTATATAAATCCGTTACAGTTTTGTTTAACAGACTTAAAAGCATCCCTGTGTCAGCTGTGCCGCTTACCATGACCATCTTCGCTTACCTGGCAGCTGTTAAAGTAGACTTTAAGGTAATTTAAAGGCACCAGTTTTCTGTCAAACAGCAGAGTGTTTTGTTTTGATTTACAGTATACTGATTTGCTCGACATCTTCCCCTGACTTGCCTTTAAAGCATTCTTGGAGAGTTCTGCTCATACACAGTTTCACTACTTAACTAATAATTGATGTTCAAGCCTTTTCTCTCACTGTATTTAAAATCACGTAAATGGTTAACATGGACATACATTTTGTCAAAAACTCTGGCTGTTTTCCCTAAACTTTAACGAGCGATGAGCTGGGTTCACGTGTTGTTGGTGTTTGAGGCAGTGGGATGACGCTCTCCTCTGCTGTAGATGGGAATGCTGTCTGACAGTGCTCACTCAGTTTAGCAGTGTCCCACTTGGTCACCGTGGGAGACCACAGAAGCCACAGCTCCTGCAGAACTGCACTGCCAAAAGTGGGCGATTTAGCGTTTTTCTCTCAACACCTTATTGTGAAACTGCCCTCCACTCGCCTCGCACACGACATTCTCGGCTCTGATAGTTTCCAGTGTTTGTTGCTCATGATTGAAGATGTAACCATGTTTTCTGACCATGTCTGTATGTATTATGGAATTCTTTAGCATGGCATATGAAATCATGGAATACAGCCCTTCAACAAAATGTTCCAATCCCTTCTCCCAATCTGCAAATTCCCACATCATCATAATCAAGTACAGGGGAAAAGCTATTCCCATTCCACTCCCATTTAAGTTTTTCATTCAAATCCCCCAAATTATGAACACTAAACCTTTCCCCCTGCTCTGTGATCCAGTCTTAGTTTTGGACTGGAGGGAGGAGATGTCGGCATTTTTTCAAGAACCAAAGATCAGCCGACCGCAAGTCTAATGCATTCTCTCTGTGCTGCCTGCTCTTGGAGGCAGTCTCTGTTCTGGAGCTTCTCCATGATATTACATTGGCTTTCCAAGAGAGCACACATTAATAGTTGGGTTATTGAGCGTTACACAACAGGAGATATCTTCATTTAGCAAAGGTGGATTCATTTCAAAGGCTGACCATTTGATAATTATTCCACTCTTCTACTGTAAACAGAAAAAGTGTTTTGAGTTCAGGAGAAGGCTTCTGCTCCTGGCTCCATCCCTGTTGCGTGACACTGATGAAGACTTGAGGTTAGATGGATTGATGGAAAAATGAAAGCATCCCCATTCGTGTTTTGTGCTCTGTTCCTTTACCAGTATCTCTGGTTTGCAAAGAGCGTTGGCTTTCCTATTAGGCTCTAACTGACAAATTGGAGAACAAAACCATAAACATGCAGTGAGATTGGAAACTGGCAATTTAAGTACGTCTCTGTTTCCTCTGCAAAAGCAGATTTAGCAGTCCTCTCTTGATGCCCTGCTATGGTGTTGGCATGGGATGGTGCTTTCAGTCTGTGAAAATGTGGAATGAATTATCCCTCGCTAACAGAAATGGGTCTTATTGAGCAGCTTGTTGCAGTCTATTAAGAAGTAATAATGAAATTATAGACAAATCCATCAGCAAGTCATGAGGAAAGGAGGGTTTAAGCATAAGAATGGCAAACGTGGTCAATCCTCCAATCTTAATCCTTGGCCTGGTTTCTGGATGAATCATTCTATTTTAAATATTTCTGTCATGACTGATCCCACGGCTGTGATTTGTTGATGCCGTTTTATTATGCGTATTTAAGTGTGTTCAACCACGCGTGGAGTGCATCGAAAGCTCAATGTGGTTTCGGTTACACATATAACATAATATGTTGACGTGTCTTTGATCCAGCCAGTGATCTTTGCCCCGTACCTCAACTTCTACACACAAACAGTGTTATGTGACAAAGTTTTCCCTGTTGTATTTATTCAGTTGTTTTATTCTCTTTTTAGGTAATCAATTCCTTTAATACTGTACTTTTCTCTTTCTTGAATGTTATCTTTTGACTTGACCTAAAAAAAAAAAGCCTTATATTGTGTCCCAACATCAGACATTCCTTTAGTTAACCACCTGTAATAGAGATACCCTTCTCTTAAAAGACCTGCTTATGAACAC